GATTGGATGTCAGAAAAAAGGATAGCTCTCAGGATTTTGGTTTAGGAGTTTAGATGTATTATTTATCAAGATGGGCAAGGTACATAGAAGAAAAATGTATTACCATTTGTAATACCATTGAAAATACCAGCTATATAACAAAGTGAAGACCCAAATAGGAAGGATATACCATTTTCATTATTGGCAGACAATATTGATTAAAAGATAGCAGTTCTCTTAAATTATATTGACAGTGAAAATCTCACCCAGGCTTATTTTTTTTGGAAATTAAACTGATTGTACAGTTTATATGGAAATGTAAAATCAAAGAATAGCTAAGGCATCATGGAGGAATTGAGTATCTGGTCTTCAGTATCAGATAATCATGATTTATTAGAAAGCTGAGTAAGAAAGACAATGTATTGGTCAAAAGTTAGAAAGAAACTGATTTCTAAAAAAGGTGATACTACTGACTGCTCAGTAGAGAAGACAGTCTATTCAATAAAAGATGGTGGATTAATTGCATATCTGTATGGAACAAAAAGTCTTAACTCATCTCACACCACAAACAATTACAGATTGAAAAATAATTGTGAAAAGTAAAACAATAAAGACATTAAATTATATAGGATAATATTTTCATGACATTAGGGTAAGCATATATTTCTTTAATGAGACACAAAAAGCACTAAATATAAAGGAAAAAAAGTAAAGTATGCTACATTAAAACTTTAAGCACTTCATCAAAAGACCTTAAAAGTAAGAAGGTGCCCAGTAAGAGTGAAAGCTGTTGTTTTCTCCAACTTTTATTTTTGGTTTGGGGGTACATGTGAAGGTTTGTTACATAGGTAGACATGTGTCACAGGGGTTTGTTATACATACTATTTCATCACCCAGGTATTAAGCTTAGTACCCAACACTTATCTTTTCTGTTACTCGCCATCCTCCCACATCCCTACTCCAGCAGACCCTTGTGTCTGTTGTTTCCTTCCATGTGTTCCTAAGTCCTCATCACTTGACTACACTTATAAGTGAGAACATGTAGTATTTGGTTTTCTGTTCCTGCATTAGTATGCTAAGGGTAATGGCCTCCAGCTTCATCCATGTTCCTGCAAAAGAGATGATCTCTTTCTTTTTTATGGCTTCATAGTATTCCTTGGTATGTATGTACCACATCTTCTTTATCCAGTCTGTCATTGATGAACATTTAGGTTGATTCCATGTATTCGCTATTGTGGATAGTGCTGCAGTGAACATTCATATGCATGTGTCCTTATGGTAGAAAGATTTATATTTCTCTGGGTATATGCCCAGTAATGGCAGTGCTAGGTTGAATAGTAGTTCTGCTTTTAGGTCTTTGAAGAATCACCCCAGCTTCTTTACACCATACACGAAGAGCAGCTCAAGATGGATTAAAGACTTAAACGTAAAACCCAAAACTGTGAAAGCTGTTTTAAAAGGGAATGCGGAGTGGAGCAACTTTGGAAAATGTTTCTGGCAGTATCCACTAAAGCTAAGTATACACATGACATTGACCAGAAAATTTAATTCCTTGATATGTACTGAACAGTAATATGTATGTGTTTACCAGGAGATGTGCTGGAATGTGTACAGAACTATTTGCTTGCTCTCGTCACTTCCCATCCTCTCTCCTATACCCATACCCATACACCCTACATATTAATTTACTGCATCTCATTGTTACACTTTACCTATAAAGTTGTGTATGCATTTCCTAAGAATAGGGATATCCTCCTAAATAGCCAAAGTACAATGATCAGGTTCAGGAAATTTAACATTAATACAATAATATGGTCTAATATGCAATTCTTTTCAAATTTCTCCAATGACCCTAATATCCTTTCAAGCATTATTTTTCCTGGTTCATGATCCAGTCGAAGATCCTGCATTGCATTCAATTGTTCTGCCTTTTTATTTTAATCTCCTTTAACCTGGAAGAGTTCATTATTCATTGTTTCATGACAGTTGTATGTTTGAAAAATTTCAGGATCGTAGAATGTGCTTTAATGTAGATTTGTCTGAATTTTTCCTTACGCTTAAATTTTGGTTATGCATTTTTTATAGGAAAACCACAGAAGTGTTTTGTCCTCTGCATCAAATCAGGGTGCACATAATGTATGTTTATCCCTTTATTGGTGATATTAGCTTTGATTATTTGATTAGATAGTGTCTACCATGTTTCTCCCCTACTATCAGTTTTCCTTGTGTAATAAGTAATATGTAGAGGGATGCGTATTTTTAAACTTTTTCATTCCCAACATGGTAGTTGCCATTGCCATTTACTACAGGGAAGAGCTTTCCTTTTTCCATCATTTATGAATATGTATTATCAGTATGAACTAATGAATTCTCCTTTTTCTAATTCAAAAGGTTATGTAACCAATTTCTATCCTAGACTTAACCAGTTGGAACCCCATCAGTCTTACTTCTATGAGTTTTTCAATTTTCTTGAGCATTTGCTTACTCCTCATGTAACAAAAATGTTTTAGATTGATCTGTACTTTCTGTAACCCAGTCCTAGACTCAGCCATTTCTGAAAGGAACCGTATTTCCCTTGCAGGAGAATCTTATTTAGAAATCAGGGGCACTTGTTGCCACTTTACGGCCTTTCAGGAGAGAACTTATAGCATGAATTCACACCGATACCACTCCTTGCAATCTCACGCCACAGAGTTCTTGCTTGTCTTCTCTCATTCCATGTTTGTGTCTTCCCCCACAGTAAGGACATCAGTATATTTACTTGTTTGCTTAATTTTATGATACAGACCTTAGAACTTCAGAATTGCCAAACCCATGCCCTCACACCAAAATTCAGTAGAATTTGATATTTCTTAGTTTTTTTATGTCTTTAGACTGAAAGTATTAAATCAAAAAGTATTGTAATCAAAAGTTGGGTATATTTCTTTTTTCTTCCTGTGTGGTTATTTTAATAAGATAAAATAGAATTCAATTTATTTGCTTTGTTTGTGTCCAATATTGGTTTTTCTCCTGCTCTTATTTAATTTTACTTTATTGCATGTATAATATTTAAGTTCCCAAAAGTCAAAACCCTATAAAGAGGTATACTCTGAGTCTGGCTCTGTCACCCAGGCTGGAGTGCAGTAGTGCTGTCTTGGCTTACTGCAAGCTCCGCCTCCCGGATTCACGCCATTCTCCCGCTGGGACTACAGACGCCCACCACCACACCCGGATAATTTTGTTTTTGTATTTTTAGTAGAGATGGGGTTTCACTGTGTTAGCCAGGATGGTCTTGATCTCTTGACCTCGTGATCCACCCGCCTCGGCCTCCCAAAGTGCTAGGATTAGAGGCGTGAGTCACCGCACCTGGCCATCTATTTCACTTCTTAAAAGATATTCCTTTTCTTTTATAGCTGCATCTATTGTATGCATATGCCATTCTTGATTTGACCATTTCCTATATGTTTTAGGTTGTTTACAGTATTTTAAGTTAGAAACAAGGCAGAACACATTATGCATATGTATTTTCATATTGTTTGAGCTGTATATTCCATGGAAATTTTAGGAGTGGGATTTATTGGTCAAAAAGTAAATGCAATGTAATTTTGTTAGATACTGCCTGCCCCACAAATCTGGGCACACAGTATTATTAGATAATCCTTATGGGAATGATAGCTGGTGGATGAATCGCAGTACTCTCAAAACCTCTAGGCTAAGAGGTTGGGTCATAGAGCACATTTTTAAATTAAGTAACAAAAATTGGCTGCGTACTTCTTATACTAAAAGTATATCATAGGTACTGGGAATGAAATTAGAATATTCTAGGAATCCTGTGGGGCATCTACATTAAGGGCCACTTCAGTATGGACTCCATGGTCTCCTGTTCCTCTTATATGCCCTGAACAGTGATGTAATAGAGAAGTTCCCATTGACATAAAATTCTACTTTACACAGAATTGTTTCTATATCATGTGAGAAACAGCACAGGATTTTCTCTACTTTTTATCAGTTAGTAGCGAATAGAAAAAGAAGGAAGTAGAGCTTGGGAAGGGAAAGGAAAAAGCAGAAGGCAAACCAAGAATAGATGCAGCCTCATCTTGCAACACTGTGGGAAGCAAAAAGCCCACGCTCAGAACTTCCCTCCTTGTAGTGTAAGTGGGCAGAGTGATGAGGTGAACTTACACAACTTTAAGTTATGAGATAGAAGGGGTAATAAAGTACAGCACAGAAACCCTCCAAATACCTGATTGAAAGTTTGGAAAAGGAAAATCCTGAAGATTGGGAAATTAGTTATATAGTTATATATTGCCTGTTATTGGGAATTTAGAATTATCAATGATAAAATATAGGATTTCATATATTATTTGGTGACTATAAAAATATGAGGACTTTCATTACCTTGTTTTTGCCACCTGAGTTCTTTTATTTTTTGTTTTAATTTTTTTGTCAAAATATCCTAAGTTTTTCAACTATGGATATTCCTATCGTGGAGTTTTTAGGATAATAATATTTTGGTTGAGGAGATATTTTTGGATCCCAATTCATGAAACATTAAGATGACAGATGGCCTTAAAAATAAATAAAATATTTATCAGAAGAATAATACACAATAAAGGAAAAAGGCCACAAACCACAAGCTAGTATCACTAGACACCTCTTACGATGATGTCTGTCTCACAAGGTGCTTGTGAAGATGTGCCTATCACACAGCAGGCCTTTTTATCTAAGGAAAGTAGCTTTCTGATTTTACAGCCAGGCCTTATTCAGAAGAGTGTTAGTTAACGTCTTAGAAGCTGTCTGAGAAGAGGCCTTTTACTTTATCCTTACACTCAAAGTGAACTTTGAATAATCTATGTCAGTGCCTGCATAAATTGTTATTATTCAGAACTGAATATGAGGAGACTCTTGAAACCTTCATCTATTAACAAATATTCTACTGATACTATAATCTAAGTTGCACTCTATAATTTTATTGTATTTCAAACAGAAGAAAGTGTATGTGGAATATAACCTGTAAGTACTATAAAAACAAGAACAGAAAATAGAAGAAAACATCTTTTATTCTTGTGCTATTTGTCTTTAACATTTGGCATAGGTTTCACTTGTAATAGAAGTGTGCATCTTATATGAAATCCTACTTAGAAATATTGGTCATTAATTGGTAGCTCTATAAATACGGTATGGAAACAAAATATACATACTTTCTTAAAGAAGATACTGGAACCTTCAGTTTGAAAGAGACTCATACATGAAAACAAATATAATTCTTATAGCAATCTAATACCTATTATTTTGAGGTATCATATTTTGACATTAATTTTTACGTTTAACACCAAAGTGCTATACTATCTATCAATGCATTTTAGTAACTTTCATTGAATCCAGTAAGAAGTGCAATCTCACATTCCATTCCATTTGTTTTTAAGATCACATAGGCACATTAATGTCAAATGATTTTCTCCTTGCCATCATAATAACTGTATATTTTTTACTTTTGCAGAACTAATATTGCAGTTTTATGACTTTTAAACATTTCGTAAAGTTTTCTTTGTTACAGTATGAGGAAAATTAAACTGTCTCAAATCTGTTTTTAATTCACCAATGATTCTATGGATTCTTCTAATACTGAACATTCCACTTCATAGATTTTCTGTATTTCTCCATTGTTGGAGAAATACTTATCACTGTATTGATATAAATGCAAGCAGCTTGACTCATTATATGCTGACATGCAATGAAACAATAAACTTCTCCAAGAAGTCCTACAAAGGCAAGTAAATCTGAATCTCTCACCTCTGCCCTACTTTTAGTGAGGGTGTGCCTTCCTTTGTTGGTGCTAAGACAGGAAGTGTCTGTGTTTATGTGATTTACTCAAATCAAACAAGGAAGTGAACTCTTACTGGAAACCTGTTAGAATCCAAACCCATAGAGGAACTTCACAATTTCAGCAACATCTTGACAACTTTTTATGTATGTGTTTGTTTTGTGAGTGATGCTATGATATAAACAATACAAAGTCAAGCTTCTGGAAAAAATTTTAAGTTTAATTTTACCAAACTTAATGGTATTTTCTTTTTTCAAATAAAGACACATTATTTTATGTTCTGCTGATATTTATCTCAACTCAGCATTCTTCTTAGATGTAATGTTTAATTAAAAATCTGTAGTAGTTTCTACAATGAATAGCTAAATATTTTGGCTAAAACATACAAGTGGCTGCGTGCTGTGGCTCATGCCTATAATCCCGGCTACTTGGGAGGCTAAGGTGAGAGGATCACTTGAGTAGGTAAAAGACCAGCTTTGGTGACACGAAGAGAACCCGTCTCAAAAACAAAAACACTCTGTGGAATTTCAACTCTTCGTCCTATTTCTATATATTTACATTCTATATGCTTTCTGAAATGCTTTGTGCTTTCTCAAAATCTCCAAGCTTCCTCATTCTAGGTAGAAATAGAATGCCAGAAAGTCATTTATGTAAAAATTGTTTAATATTTACTAAGTTATTACAGAGAGGTTGCATTTTCATTTTACCTACATGAGCATTTAGCATTAAGACAATAGTGGGCCAAATTTGGCTTTTGTTTTTGAAGGTTCATTTGAGTAGCGTAATCACAACATGGTCATCTCGGCCTTGCCATAGCATCTCTCCTTCAAAGTCTACCAGTCCATGTTTCCTGGCACGCATGAGAATACCCACTACTTTATCTGAAATACGAACGTATCTGTCAAAGAGATCTCCAAAGGTAACCTGGATCTTGCCGTCTCGTCTGTGGCGAGCCATTGTGCGGATAATGAAGCACATGTCCATAATTTCCCTGTAGATGTGCTCCTCGGCACGCTTGGCCCTTTCAGCGGTTTTGGTTCCTTCCTTGGGGCGACCGTAGCCCTCATCTCCTTTGTGTAGGCGGGTGGACATGGCCAGCTCGTAATCAAACTCTTCACTGAAAGGATTGAGCTTCTGGGATTGTATGTGTTCATCAGCCCACTGCTGCCATCTCCCTTTCAAATTGCCCACTTGGCTGTATTTCTGTTGGGCTTTGCAGTTGAGTTTCTCTGTAAATCTGTTTACCCTAAAGTAGAGAGAGGGTGAACAATCAAGATTCAGATATGTTAACACCAAGTGTTGTTTTCCCTTTGTACTTCCCATGCATATGCATCTTTAATGTAAGTATAATTTTTTCACTACAAAAATAAACACAATATAAAAAATTAGAAATGAAAGAAGAAAAGTCATACATAGTCCCACCATTGTTCTTAGTTTGGTGCATATCCTTCTAGATTGTTTTCTCTATGAATATTTTAAGCATTATAATGATACTAAAATCTATTTTAAGAAAAAAGCTTCCCCACACAAAGTTAATGCAAATGTGTGTATCTTAAAGTTGAGTATTAGTAACACTTTAGAACTGGAATCATGTAGGTGTTTTCAGGAATCTAGTTCTTAGAGGACCTCTGAAACCAATTTTTTCCCAAAGGTAAGGACTATACCACTACACATGCATTTTAATATTTTCTCATATATAGATTTTCATGTGTATTTTTCAGTGAGAGCATATATAGACTAGTATCAATGATGCCACAAACTTTGAAATATTAAGTTGTACAGATAGAAAACACTAGCTAGCAACAGTAACATTTACTGAACACTATGTACTGGCATTCTATATGCTTTTTATTAATATTCCCCGCAACCATTTCCTGAGATAGGTACTACTATTCCTAGTTCACAAGTGAGGAAACTGAGGCCAGAGAGATGAAGTAACTTCTTAAAGTCACAAAACTGTTAAGTGAACCAAAGATAAGACTTTGAAACAAAGATAAGTTGGCTCCAGAGCCTGTCTATAACTATGAAATACTGCCCTAAATAGGTGACGGGGTAGGATTCAAACGCAAGACTGCCTAAGACCAAGGTCAATGCTCTTTCTACTATGCAGTGATGCCACTCAGCAGGCCCATACAGCGTCTAATAAAGGAATAAGTTGTGTTTTAAATGTGTGTATCTTTGGAATTCAGAATGCATTTTCTATTAAAAAGCCAACTCTGGAAAGTGTAGACTAGTAGTATCAGGATGCCAGCCTAATATTAGTATGGGGCAGCAAACTAACACAGGAACAGAAAACCAAACACCACATGTTCTCATTGTAAGTGGGAACTGATCAATGAGAACACATGGACACAGGGAGGGGAACAACACACACCAGGGCCTGCTGGGGAGGGAGAGCATCAGGATAAATAGCTAATGAATGTGGAGCTTAATACCTAGGTGACAGGTTGATAGGTGCAGCAAGCCACTGGCACACATTTTTCTGTGCAACAAACCTGCACATCCTAGCCTGCACATGTATCCCAGAACTCAAAAAGACATCCCTGCCATTTGTCCAATTGCCTAGACTTTTTCCCTAGGTCTCTAACTTCACAGGTAAAACACGAACTTGAACTATCTGAGAGTTGTACTCCTAACCCTCACAAGCGTCCCACCCTCCCTTTTTCTCCCCAGTAACAAGTGGCCTCATGCCTGGAAGCATTGGGATTGGTGGTGCTGAAAGTATTTGTGTGAACGGCATGCCTGAGCTATCCCAGCTCTCGCAATTTACTATTAAAAACCCAGCAACCAGTCAGAGTTGGGTATCCCTCACCATCCAAACTCACTTCCTGAAATCTGGTTACCCAAACGCTGGAACCAAACACGTAGACCTGGAGGAATATATACTGACATTAACATTGTTTTCAAAAAAGAAATGACATCCACTAGATGGCGAACTTTCATCAGTTCTTATGCTGGATGTTTCCCAAAGTCCTACGCTTGCTACATTGTTTCATAGCACAATAGAATTGGAATTGGAAATACTCCTACATATAACACTACTATCCTTTATACAAACATGGATGAAAGTGTATGACACAGTTAATTAGTAAAAACAAAAAAAGCACACAAAAACTGTATACACGATTATTACAACTTTGTGAAATATATGTATGAAGAAGTGCTAGGAGCTCGCCGGGCTGAAGTGTAATGGATTTCCCTCAGCCCTCCTTGTCAGTTGATCCCCTGCCTCGCCATTGACTTTTCTTGTTTAGCTGCCCTCAGTGTGGGCTGCTCGATCTCATTATCAAAAGAAAGCAAATACCTTGTCCCTTTGGAGCCATGCTGATCAATGACTGATCACCATGCTGATCAAAGGCATATTCTTCAGTATCAAGCCCAAGGCCATCTTGGCAGAGCGTGAATTTCATACCAGACTTAACAGCTGAGGTGTCCTGCCAGAGTAGAGGCTCGAAGTATCTCAAATGAAAGTGAATAGTGTGATTTATTAACTCATACTTTGTCTCCTGAGCACCAACTGTGGTGCTGCCCTATTGTGTAAATCCTAATGCATCCTGCCTTTAAACAGTTTTTGAGCACTTTTACATCCCTCCCATGCTTTGAAGTATTTATTTACGATACTGTGTGCCAGGCACTTTTTAAGGTACTTACTGGATATTTTATAATGAAAGTAATACAAATTTGGGTTTATGATACAATCACAACTCTGTAAAATGTATAAGCACTAGGCTAAAGAATTTAATAACATTTGCATAATTAAAAATGATTATGTCAGTATCCAGATAACAGTTGGTTCTTTTCACTTTTCAAAATTCTCTTTTATGTTGGTATTATACTGATTTGGTAACAAAGAAAGCAAAAAATAGGTAAATACTCAAATTTGCATCCAGAGGTAATTTGTTTAAACTACATTACATGGGTCTCTGATTCTTTGATGTAGGCTTTTTCTTCTAATTTTTAATTAGGAACTTAGATTCCCTAAATGTTGCAACTTAGTGTCATTTGGAATAACAGCTGGGGTTGGTGTGTGCTAATAAATCTGTGAAGAGCTTCTAGGCCAGGCACAGTGGCTCACGCCTGTAATTCCAGCACTTGGGGAGGGTGAAGTGGGCAGATCACTTGAGGCCAGGAGTTTGAGATCAGTCTGGCTATCATGCTGGCTATCATGGTGAAGCCCCATCTCTACTGAAAAAATACAAAATTAGCCGGCGTAGTGGTGCATGCCTATGGTCCCAGCTACTCGGGAGACTGAGGCAGGAGAATCTCTTAAACCTGTTAGGCAGAGGTTGCAGTGAGCCGAGATAGTACAACTACACTGCACTCCAGGCTGGGTGACAGAGATTCTATTGGAAAAAAAAAAAAAAAAAAAACCTGTAAAGAGCTCCTAAAGGAAGCACCATTTAAATATTAATGTCTATTTGTTATATTGTCAAATTGTAGTGCCCTCTAATTGGAGGGAAGAACACCAAAGAAAGTTGGTCCCATAAGAAAGAATTAGAAAATAGGGCTAGGAAAAAAAAGAAGGAAATTCATCTTAATGAGCATCTAATTTTCTCTATTTTATAAACATTCTGTATTATTTTTATATCTCCAGTTTTTAAAAGGTCAAAGTATATTGGGTTTGGGTTTAAGTCAGGGTTAGAAAGTCTTATATACTGAATTTTTTTGGTCAATAAATATCATAAATATAAGAATCGATACCAGATTATGCTGTTTTTAAAAATTTTAGGGGAAAATGTGAATGAAACTCTAGATTTAACTTTAGAAAGATAACCTATCATAAACTGAAAGAAAGCAAAGCAATATTTAAAGGCTAACATCTCACTCATATTTTGGAACAGCAATACTAAATCCAGACCCACCTTCTCAGTTTCTTCATTATTAGTAAACAAACTTTCTTATAGTCAATCAAAAGTATAAACTAGCCGGGCGTGGTGGCAAGCACCTATAGTCCCAGCTACTCGGGAGGCTGAGGTAGGAGAATGGTGTGAACCTGGGAGGCGGAGCTTGCAGTGAGCCTAGATTGCACCACTGCACTCCAGCCTGGGCAACAGAGTGAGACTCCATCTCAAAAAAAAAAAAAGAAATATATATATATCTCCCCTGTCCTGCTATGTTCAAGGTAACTAATTCTACTAGACATCACAAGCAATCTGTCTAGGAAAGTCTAGTTTCATTTACTAAAATATATTCTGAAATTTGTTTCTTATCTAAATGGGCCTCTTCAGCAGCGTGAGGAGAAGATGGGAACCAATTTTATCTATAATTCTGTCACTTCAGAGTAATGATTATATGGGTAAATTATTATATATGTAATCAAACCCCCAGGAAAGAAGAGTTCTAAAAGATATATTTCAAATCCAGCAAGTTCACTGGCACTGAAAACATTTTCTGATGGTTGCCCTTCTCCTGAATCACCAGCTTCAAAATGCCTGGGGCGCCTAGAGGCACGATTTTCTCTTCTGTCTCCGATCTGTATGGAGAACATGAAGATGGGCTCTCATTGCCAACTCCACAGATCTTCCTGTAGAGGGAGCATTTCTCCTCCTCGTGCAGGCACCCTCCTCTGTCAGCGAAGCAAAGAATCTCTGCCACCCTTTCCAACTTCTAGGAGAAATGCTGCGTTGATTTGCTTGTCCTTCCCTACAGACAGTTTAGCCCCTTTGATTACTGAGAGTGTGACATCAAGAAGGGCACATTTATCAGAAGCAGGGTGACAGCATTCAAAAGGCAATATGACATTTCCGCTCAGCAGTTTTGCTGTCTGTCATTTTCAGCTTCATTTGAGAGCCAGGCCTGTGATTCTCCTTCAGATTGAACTGTCTTCAGAGTCTGTGGAAGGGGTTCGCTGCCCTAGAATTGGGCATAGGCAGAAGGACAGCATAATTTTGCCTTTGTTTCTTGTGATGTCCTTCAATACAGTTGCACCAAAACCCTGAACTTTGGGAGTCGTTAGGATTTCACTAATTAAGCCCACATTTTGATCTCCACTTTGTTCCTTGAGTCTGTTCTCTACTGAGAGGGACAGTCTAGCATAGTGGTTGAGAACACAAGTGCCTTCCCAACTTCATCCCTTCCTCGTTCTATGACTTGGATTATATGTTTCTTAATGTCTCTTTGTGCCAGTTCCCCTGTTTGTAAAATGGCAGCCTCCTGCTCAACTGCTATTATTTTCACTGAATTAAACATGGAGGACAGGATGATAAGTGATTGGTACTTTCATCTTGCACCTTTATGGGAGAGAGATCTAATTTCTTTTGTCCAAAGGAACTGGATTGAACAAGTCACAATCAAAAGACTAAATATGTTTAAAGTAAGACAAAATATAAACAATTTTCATAGTAAAACTCCAGTTACAAAAACCACTGTTGGTAAATAATTTATCTACTTTTTTCACAGTTGATCTCTTTGTTTCTATTATCCATGGAACATCTTAACCACCACGAAACTTTCTTTCCACCTAAACGTCTATGATACATAATTTTCTCCTTATTGGCAGATACAGGGAGAGAAGGGTGCCTATAATTAAAACTAAGTGAACAAAAAGACTTTTCAAATTGGCTTAGTAATGCTGCTTTCATTTCTCAAGCAATATTTGAGAGTATCATTGGCCAAAAATTCCTATGAGGTGTCTGCTGAAGTTTCCTGAGCACAGCTAGGATTACTAATGGAATTAAGAGCTGCTGTTGCTGCATACACCATTCTGGTACCCTACGTACTCTAAGACTGAGGGAAAGGAATCAAAAAAGGAAAGAAGAGATATAACTACCACTACCACTCTGAACCTACAGAGCCAAGCTCCTAGCATCTTGAAGGGCTGGGATCACCAAGCCTGGCTCCCTGTATTATAATGAGTACAATTTACTAATGAGCTCCCCTGAGTCTATCACTTTACATAGCTAATATAAAAATAACCCCATGAGATATGAGCTATCACATCTATTTTTTAGATGAGGATAGAGAGACTCAGGATTACCACAGTAACCACGATTCAAATCTAATTGTCTCTTATTCCAAGCGTAGGCATTTCAACACATTAAGAAGGTGCTCATGTACTAGCCTGATTTGGGGAACCCCAAGACAGGTCCTGTATCCCACTCCCCACTTTTAGGTGAGACAGTTTACTGAGAGCCAGAATGACTGAGTTCAAATCTCATGGGCTGTAAAATCTCATACAAATTCCCTAATATTTCTTCATCTCCTGTCTCCATCTATCAAAGAGGGATGATGATTATATCCTATCATATGAGCATACTGTGAGGTTAAATAAATATATGAAAAGTGCTTAGACAAGTGCCAAAGAATGTCTAGCTCTACTATGCATTCAGGATTGGTCCCAGCTGTCACCTCCCTACCGCTAGTTAATTTAAAATGTGCCAAGAGAAAGATCTTGTCATTGTGCCCCCTCAGTCTTTATTCTTTTGGACCCCATTATTCCATTTCTAGCACACATGTCCCAAGATCCAAAAGGCCAGAATTTGGAATATGGTTCCTCATGTTCAGATAGCATAGTTACTTCTGATCATGAACTCCTATATTAAGCACAAATCCAGACCTCTGAATGCATCCTCAAGACACTGCCCGAAGGTTAGAACCATGTCTGGTTTTAAAACATTGCATTTGGGCAAGTCTTAGCTTTGTCACTAACTTGCTGGGCAAACTTACCCTCTGAGCTTTGGTGTTCTTATCCCTGCAATTGTGAATAGCTACCTCAGAGGGTCATGAGAAGTGAAGCGACAAAGCATTTAAACACCTATAGCATACACTAAACACGTGACAGATTATTGTAATTACCCGTTTGCCATTTTATTTTTCTTGAAAGCTAGTAGTGTAGTAGTTCTAATTCTTTCAAAACACCTTTATAGTCTCAAACTATAAGACAGCTCTTTAAGCCCGGTTCAGTGACTCATGCAACCCAGGACCTTGGGAGGCCGAGGTGGGCGGATCACCTGAGGTCAGGAGTTCGAGACCAGCCTGGCCAACATGGTGAAACCCCATCTCTACTAAAATACAAAAATTAGCTGGGCGTGGTGGTGTGCACCTGTAATCCCAGCTACTCAGGAGGCTCAGGCAGGAGAATCACTTGAACTCAGGAGACGGAGGTTGCAGTGAGCCAAGATCGCGCCACTGTACTCCAGAATAGGCAACAGAGTGAGACTTCATCTCAAAAAAAAAGAACAGCTTTTTGTCAAAATAGGTAACCTTTTTTTTTCTTCTTCTTATTGTTTCATGAGACTTGAAAAACACACTGTCCCCAAAGGGAGTCAGTCTATAAATGTAATGACATCGGACACTTCTCTTATATTTTGATACCCTGGCATTGTGGAACAAGAAATCCTGACTTCCTACTATGTGGAGTTACTGTCTTGAAATAAAGCACGTGTCTCGTCTATACAAATGTTTCGGATTGAGTAAGTGTGTGTGTGAGTGTGTGTGTGTATTTAGCATCTAGACATTTTAATTTTTGCTGTCTTTGTTTACAAATAGGACAAACTGATTTTGAAAATTTGAAAAGTTGCAAAGTAACCAAATCTATGTGAATAATAACAGCTTTCATAGATTAAGCATAGGTGACAAGCTCTGTATTTGGTAGCCCTAATCTCATTTACATTTCCCAATACAATAGAACTTCTCCCAAAAGCTTACTGTTGCTGTCATTTTACAAAGGAGGAAATCTGCTTTTTTGTTATTTTTTATTTTTTATTTTTATGTGAAACAGAGTCTTGCTCTGTTGCCCAGGCTGGAGTGCAGTGGCATGATCTTGGCTCACTCCAACATCAGCCTCCTGGGTTAAAGCCATTCTCATGTCTCAGCCTCCTGGGTAGCTGGGATTACAGAGGTGCAACACCGTGCACAGCTATTTTTTTGTATTTTTTGGTAGATATGGGGTTTCACCAATGTTGGTCAGGCTGGTCTCCAACTCCTGGCCTCAAGTGATCTGCCCTCCTCGGCCTCCCAAAGTGCTGGGATTATAGGCATGAGCCACTGTGCCCAGCTGAGAAAATCAGCTTTAAAAAGGACTAGTTAGGGGCCTAACTAGGATTTGGGATTAGGTCTGTCTGACTTCATTCAGAGCCTGCTCTCAAATTAGACAGCAGCCTTCCACCTGTTTAGAGTCAGAGATTTGTGTTCCATGGGTGTTATGGAAGCAGACGTATCTCCTGATAATAGCATAGACATTTGGGACAAGGTAAGTTTCCCCAATGAGTCTACCAGAAACCACTCTTATCTCTAAAGAAATAAGCCAATTTGTTACTCATTATAGAACTGACTTAAAGAATTCACACAAAACAGGCATCCTTCTCTGATGGCTTCATCTTTGTTGAGGCTAAGACTTGGATGTTCAGTTCAAAACAAAAAGGAGAAACAAAATAGCACAAGCCCTGACCAAAAGGTCCATGTCTAAGGTTGGCACCGACCTTCAGCCCAGGGTCATCCCTCCTCTACAGTACTCACTGCCTTTGAGTCTTTGAGATTCTCGCTCTAACCCTGGCAGGACTTCATCTGCTGCCTGGATTCCCAGAGTTGGTTGGGGCTCAGTAGTGATCCTGATACAAGGAGTGGGAGGATGCATTCACTTACTGAGAGGGCAAGGGGCGCTTGATCCTGGCCACAGCCACCTGCACTCCATCCTGCTCGGGCCTCTCCTCGGCCTCTCCTCCGTAGCCACTGTCCTCTGTGTCTACGCTGTCACTCCTCCAGGTGGGCTCCTCCTGCTCCATCACTCTCCAGCCCTTGGTGAGCTCAGATACCAGGTTGGCACATTTTCTCCTCCGTGTTGGGGAGTCGTGGCTGTGGAGGATTCTGTCAATGTCATTCTCTGGCTGCCCAGGTTCAGGCACACCAACATCCCTCTCGTACCTGTGGCTGAGGTGGCTCACGTCCCCTCCTCTCTCATAAGCTTTGCTGACCACCGTTTTGGTCACCTCTTTCTTTTTGATGTGAGAAACCTCAGGGGCTTTCTCTGAGCTTTGTCCATCTCCATGTCCTTCTGGCGTTCGGGGTGGCGACTTTGGGGCACTCTGAGCTTTCTGGTGTGAAGTAGGGGGTGTGATTGGTTTAGGAGCTTGGGGTGAGTCCTGGGTCCCTCCCGGCAGCCAGCCTGTAGGCTCCTGGGCCTGCCTGATGCTGTTCTCATTCGCCCACTGCTGCCAACCTCGGGCCAAGTTGATGACCAGAGTGGCTGTGCGTATCTTCCGGAGGGCGCTCTTGGCTGGGCCCTCCTCCCTTTCCTTTTCGCCCGGAGCCATGCTGCCCACCTGTCTTTTTTCTGCTGATAGCCTGGGCAGTGGCTAAAATGAGTATGGTCCAGTGGAGTGCCTGGGATTTAAATAGAAGCAGGGTGCGGGGTGGGAAGGAGAGCTTAGTGACGATGGAAACTATGTGAAGCATTTCTTGCCAAGATATGGCGCCTTTGCCCTGATGGTGTTCTTTTTATAAATCATGACAGCTCGAGTTTCATCACGGCAGAGGGACATCTCTGCTGGTAAGGGACAGTGATATGCTCACTCTCTTTCTTCTCCAAGTGCCAGAGTGGAAATTACTAGATCAAGTCATGTGCTCAGCCTTATGTTTTTCTGACCTTAATATGGTCCTGCCATTTATAGGTGCATACAATATGCGTACATATTACCCCGGGAACATTATAGGATTGTTCCCATTTAAACCCCAGCAGTCCTCAGTACAGCTCCTAATTAGTTCCACTTTATAACTAAGTAAACTAAAATCTAACTTCCTGCAGCTAATAAAATCTGAGATTCAAATCCGTATCCGTGTAATTCAAAGCTTGTGCCTCCTTTTATGCCAGTTATCAAAGATCCTAAGTTGCCTTTTTCTTTTTCAATCAACTCCATTAGAAATAGACCTTAGAAAATCAACTCACCTAACCTTCATTTTCCAGATGAGAAAATTGAAGCCCAGATAAGAGAAAGACCAAAGTCCAGACAGTCAAAGACTAATTACTTTCCAGTCCCATCTTTGAAGTATTGTATAGATAACTCATATTAAAATACAAAAAGGCAGTCAAAATTTTGGTCCAATCATTAAAAAATGTTTTTAAAACCTGCATACACACTGAATTTTAGAAATTATTATTGGAATACATCTTTTCAAATACTTTGTTTGAAAAGATCATCTAAGGACAGAATTCTAAGGACAGAATAAATGAATGCTATTGGTAGCTCACTTCTTATCCCCATCCCTGCCTACCCTTACCCTTTGGTTTTTGGTTTTTGTTTTGTTTTGTTTTTTGAGATGAGGTCTTCCTGTGTCCCCAGACTGGAGTGCAATGGTGTGGTGACGACTTACTGCAACCTTGACCTCTTGTGCTCAAGCAATCCTCTTGCCTCAGCCTCCCAAGCAGCTGGGACTACAGGCATGAGCCACCATGCCTGGCTAATTTTTTTTTTTTTAATAGACGGTGTCTCACTGTGTTGTCCAGGTGGGTCTCAAACTCCTGAGCTTGTGCAGTCCTCCCACCTTGGCATCCCAAAGTGCTGGGATGACAGATGTGAGCCCCCACATCTAGCCCCCTTTGTTTTTAATAACACAATCTGCCTTAGCAGGACTTTAAGTTCATGTAGGCAGTTTTTCAACTCTCACAAGAGAGACTGAAATATAATATTTTTTAAAAGGACTGGAAAGACAAGCATGTGGACAGAAAGAGAAACATCTATGCAGTGTATTAAACCAGATAAAAATGTCCAAGGCTCAGCAATGAATAATTTCTTAAAGTAAGCAGAATTTTTGTTCATTCAACAGTTCTGTTGGCTTTAAAACTATATCCTTTCCTTCAGTATTGCATGCAGGTAACCATACTAATTGAAAACTGCTGTTTAAGAGCACAAAAAGGTATAAAAATTAATTATTTCAGGTAGTGAGACATTTATTTTGGGAAAAAAGTTGATATTTTTCATCATGTGGGTTATTTACCTCCTAGGATAAAAAAAAAATTGGGAAGTGATTTAATACTTGATCTACAAATCTGTCAGAGGTGTTTCCAGAGTTCAACAGCATCTGATAGCTTTAACTAAGGGCCATAAATGTGGAGAAAAAGCAAATCCCTCCTGATTAATTAAGAGGAAGTTGGATCACAAGGAAAGAAAGCTATTACAAACAAAGATTTCAATCTGAGCCTGAAATGTCTGGCATTCCTCCCAGCAATGCAGATTCACTGCAACCTGTTTGGTTCTTATCAGAATCTCTTCATCCCACTTGGAAGGCCTTAGGAAAAAATAGAGTTCCTCTAAGACACCCATACGCTTAGCCCAGAATCAGGATAATTTATAGCTTTCAACGAGATTTTCCTGCTGCCTGTCCACACCTGCCCCAGATCCAGTCCTGATAGAGGGAGAAGAAATGGAAACAGCAAATGCTAACAGTCTTTCACATATTAACTGGCATTGCAGTCAGCTACTGGGGTTTGAGGATGTCAGCAGAAGGTCTTGGCTAAAAAACAGGAGCAGCTTCTAAAAGAGCCTGGTCATTCCTTCTGAGATTTAGCCTCCATGGCAACTGTAGTCCTTCGTTCACAACTCTACAGAAGAGAGTATAAAATCGTTTTCCTCCTCACGTGTGCTTTGGGACTTTCTTCCCGAAAGCAAGGTCTGTATGCTACCTCCCATACATCTTTGATTACTATAGAAATGTTATGTTCATTGTCTCAATCGAAATTCAAATTCTTGGGAGTTCCAGATTTTCCTGTTTCATTTATGTTAGAAATGAAAATAAAATCTCAAAGACAAAAATAAAATGAAATAAGTGTTTTACATTGGGAGCTTCCTAGGAAACCTTGAGATTTGAAATTGTTTGTGAGGATGATTAATGAAATAATTATCACCTAAGAAGTCTCTCATAAGAGAAAGTATCTTGAAAATAATATTTGTTATTTTTTGATCATATGAATAATAGTAGGAAGAGGAAGGAGAGGCATTTATATATTTTTCTGCATGATACACTTAGAAGTTAGGTAAAGCCAAGCCTCATAGCCAGTTGTATAATCTTATTAAAGAGACTTTAGGAAACTACATTTGCTCAAA